TATATATATATATATATACATACATACATACATACACAAACACACATACATACGTACATACAAACTCACACTTACATGTCTAAACAAACACACATAAATATTTCACCTTATAAATGAAAATGTGCATTTTATTTGCAATTTAAAATAATGGTTTTTTAAGTGATATGAAAGATATGGGTGGTATAAATATAAGAAAAGTAAAGTTTAGATGTCTGGTATGTAAATACAAATAAATTACTTGGTATGTGCATAAATGCAGTAATATTATATCAAATTTTTAATTATAAATTATGTAAATCAATAAGAAAATATATTTAGAAGTGCCACACGCTACAATGATTTAATTAAGATTTCTTAAATTTGTAAATGGGATATGCAAACATTTCTATCAATCCAAATTATTCCTAAAAAAATTTTATTAAACGAAAATTCTCAATAAAATATGCCAGAAATTTAATAATTTTAACTTAAATGTAAAACTCTAATAAATTCTCTTTTCTTTATAAAATATCGTTTAATTTAAGAAAGCTTACACGAAATACATTAATTAAAATTAAGCACGCATGAAGTTTTAAGATAAAGTTGTTTTTTCATTTTTTAACCAAAACTGTTATGTCAAAAAAAAAAAAAAATACTACTTTAAATTATAAAAATTAATTAGTATTTTCTCAAAAAGAATTAGTTGTGCAATTGTCGTCGCTTAAAATGGAAACAAATTGTCAGGTAAGCAATTTGTTGCTGCTTTAAGCGGCAACGTTACAAATTTATGATTTTCATCTTTTATAAATGATGATTAGTTAATTTAATGTCATGTTTTGTTGATTTTAAAATTTCTTCAAACATGTCATGGAAATGAAATAAAAAATTTCCCTCCATGCACCAAAAATCAGAAGCTTAAAAATGATATTAGTTGTCAATCCTTTCACCTTACTCCACGTTGGCTGCAAAAACAAACTGTTAAGATTTTCAGTGTAAGAAAATTTTTCTGCAAGTAGTAAAGTTTAACAAACACATAAGCAGGGAATAAAAATTAAAGAATTAGCATCAGTAATATATCTGCCTTATTAGCATTCTTTTATACCTTCCATTTCATCTCTCAACCAATCTTGAGCACAAACCATGCTTTGCAAAGAAACTGGATCAAAGGATCTCAAATATAGACTTAGAGGTCTATCCTCAATTCTTTTTGTAACATTTCCCAAAGGAATAGAAAGTATATCGCGAGCAACCAATGAAAGGATCGGGAATTTTGCCGCGTTGAGCATCCACCAAGTTAGCACATTAAAGCTATCATCTGGACCATCTTTATATATGTATACAGCCTCCTCCAAATACAAGTCAAAGTCTGATTTTATTGACTGACTTGACATGGTCTGCTGAAGATATTGATCGAGTCCCCTCCGTGTATCAGAGAGCGTAAAATGAGAAGAAAAGGACTGAGAGCATCCAATTGCTCCACGTTCTAAGCCGGGGCAGCCACTATTACCACTAGTATAGCATAGAAGAGCCTGACCATTTCTACTCTTAGCCGAATGAACAACATATTCACTGTACAGATCTCTCAAACAACTGAAAATGCCCTCTACCTTAATTTTTGCTTCAAAATCTCCTATGTAGATATTTTTGAAGAAATATTCTACTGATCTCATCTTGTAACGAGGGTCCAAAATTGATGCTATTGCCAAAATCATGATATTTGCATCCCAGTACGGTTCAAAACTCTTGAGCATTTGAGAAGCAAGTTTCGAAATTATAAGAACAGAACAGGAAGACCAAGATTTCAACAGTAGAAGAATGCCACAAATATCAATGAAATAAAGATTTGCTGTAGGTATTCTAATCGCTGAAAACTTTCTTATCATGTGATCAAATGTTTCCAGACATTCTTTAACAGATTTGACATCATCCCACTCTACATCGGACAATGGAAATGAGAAATCCGAATCATACTCTGCTAAGTTTTTTAAAGCATTACGCAATTCATAAACAGTTGCAATCATCAGATAGGTCGATCTCCAATTAGAACTGTCATCAAGAACTAAAGTTGTTTTAGGAGCATCAGTTAGTATGGCAGCATTTTGAAATCTTTTTAATTTTTCATGTGAAGACTGCACAAAAATCACACAACTTCGCACTCGGTCACATATCTCGAGTAGTTGCCCAATAGAATCCCGGACAACAACATCCAATGCATGCGCCAAACCATGAAAATGAAACAGGTCACCGTTAAGATGGAGAGAATCCATAGAACGAAGAAACTTAAGAAGAAGATTATCAGCTGCAACTTGATCAATCTCACATCGATCCAGACACATATAAGACACCTTTCTGCTGATCTTCCAATCATGCAGCTTCTCTATGATTCCTTCACAGATATCTTCAGCAGTAGGCGGAGCCCCGAAATGCAGAAGGTTGAGTATCTTTCTCTGAAGCTTCCAATCATTGTCAATAAAGTGGCAAGTCAAGCACAAATGGCCCACTCCATAGTTTGATCCCCACCTATCAATAGTGAGACTAACTCGGCATGGAAGCATCTCCAGTATCTCAGAAAGCTTGCTCCTCCCATTCTCATAAATCTTTAAACAATCATCGATAATCATCTCTTCTGACATTAGCTTAAACCGAGGCTGAAGATTTCTGACGAAATTTTGGAAACCAACGTGTTTGACAATGTCTAGAGGATAGTGATGCAAAATAATCATCCGAGAAAGATCCTGCCTGCTTACCTCCTGGTCAAACTGAGATCCCCCGAGTCCTTCTTTATCATCATTGTTAATTGTGGTGGATCTCAATGCCACGAATTGCTTCTTGCCCCGCCTCCGCCCATCAGTTCGCCGGGTGCTCAAGCAGAAGTTGAGGTGGTTCCTCAGGTGGGTAGTACCGCTTCGGCTATTAGCTGTGAACTTCTTGCCACAGTGGTTGCATATCGCTTCGTAATTTCCGTCCGCCTTTTGCTTCTTGGTGAAATCTTTCCATACAAGCGATCTCAACCTCCTGGCTCGTGGATTGTGAAGAGCGACCGAGGCCTCCTGGAGGTTTTGGTTGCCGTCCAAATCGATTGATTCGGCCATACTGCACAAAGACAGGTAGAGATATTCCAAGAGCGCTTGTGAAAGAAGCAGCCGAAAGTGAGCATCTTTGAAAAATCGATAGATAAAAAAGAGTATGAAACGAAGCACAAGGAAGAGAGTCTACATGGCCTTGAAGGAGGGCTTTAGCAAATGTTCAGGGAAATATAGAGCGCTTGACAAAGTAAGAACCTTTGGTTATCTGAACTGGGAAGATCCGCGTCTCCGGCTTTCGCTCTGGAACGCGCACGGTATCGGAGGAGAGGCCAGGAGATCCGTTTCCAGCGTAGGTACGGTGTATTGCGAGGGCGGGTTGCAAAAAATGGGCGACGTGGAGGCTTGTTGGGCCGGTTTTGGGGACTATAGGGAGGGAGATAGGGCAAAACGGAACTCCGATGATTGATTCGTTTAGAGAAATCGAATTCGGATATCAAAAAAATACCGTATTCTGGATTTGCCTTCTGCAAAACATGCATTTTACAACCAAAAAAATAATTAATTAAATAACAATAAAAATGTGTGCCACTTATCCAACCTTCCAAAAAAAAAAAGAAAAAAGAGTCTCACGTCCTTAAATGATCTAATAATTTAAAATAAATTTATTTATTTTAAAAAATTTGAAAATTGTAGATTATTGATATTGTACTGCTTTAAAGTAGAATTTTTAATATTAGGATTTGAATATTGCTAATAAGACTTTAAATTTAATATATAAAATTTATTTTTCTATTTTTGTTCTAAAACTTTTATTAGTTATCAGATTATTCTCAAAAAGTCCAAACAGCAATAAGATGGTTCTATAAAAATCTGAATTTCTTCTTTTCCCACAATTTTGATTGATTTTGATCACCTTATCAACTTTGGGCAAAAAATTTTAAACTCAGATTAAACAACTAGAGATTTCTCAGATTGTTAGCATGAATATAGCAATGAAGGTGAAGTATTTGAATATGCTCCATCATGAATGTTGCATATATGTACTTCAAATAAAATAAAAAATTACATAAAACTCTCTTTCACTATCTCCCTCAATATATGTTGTTGAATCCGAGGTTGCTCGTGAATAACACCTAAGAAATAAAGCATAGATAAAAAGAGAGAATACAGAGAGAGATAGAGAGAGGGAGAGAGAGAGAGAGAGAGAGAGAGAGAGATAACACTAAAAGTGATGTCCCCCTTCAATTAAATGCTTCCTCTATTTATAAAGGATTTAGTATCATGTTGTTACATATATATCCGCACATAAGGAGGATTAACATTGGGTTATTTCTAATATTTTACATTTATGGGCTTGTTGTATGGCCGCCTTCTAGCTCGACCGACTAAGTTTAATTGGCTTTGGGTCAGGTAGGTCACTTCGATCAATAAAGTTTGGTCGGGGTATTACGGTCAGCTAATCCAACCTAAATGATTATCCTTGATTCCTAATAAGGAGCTTGAGATACATAGCAGAATTAGAATTCCCTTTGGATTGACTCTACTGGGGGTATGTAATTGCGTTGTGTCGGCTTTCTTTTAGCAGCTGGCTCGAATGTTCATTCATCATAATTTTGATTAGACGGCTCATACTTCAATCATTTGGTGGCCTTCTTATTGCTTCGTGGCTTAGTTAGTTTTGGCTTGGTTGCTTGACTCATTCAGTCAAATGGTGCTCATGAACTATTGTAAGTGGGCCAACCTTCATCATACTTTTTTCCTACTCGACTATTACATCTCTTTAAAATTAGTGCAAGCACCTTTTTGATGTACTTATTTTAGTTCTCGATTGTCCTACTTCTTGAAAGTGACACTGCGATGAGAATAAAAGAATTAAATATAAGAGTAAATTTCATTTATTTTTTAATTAGTAGCTCAATAATTGAACTCCCTTAATCTCCACATTTCCAGTTGTTATAAAGAGAGCATTGAGACTCCTTCATTTTTATTACTCTTCTAGGTGCTTTATTTTTTGTTAGAAAGTCTCCCTTCATATCTTTCTTGTCATGATGGACAAGAAAAAGAGACCCCAAAGGCAAAAAAATGTGCAAGATGTCAGCTCACATGGTGAATGTGGAGTAGATGATGATGGTTCTTTAACAAGAGCTTTTAGATTTACGAGAAAAGGTTTGAGTTTTCTGGATGTAGGCTATTGCAGTCCTAGTGTGTGTTGTTTTTTTGCGTGTTTTATATCAATCCAAATCCCTGGTAATAGTGTCAAAAACTTGACCCATCTCGAAATTATGTCGAAATTATGCAGTAATTCTCGAAATTATGCAGTAATTTAACTTTCAAAAATATGGCCAAAAACTTGATCCAGTTTATATTAAGTAGTTAATTTGTAAAATTAAATTGTTTATAAAATATATAAAATAGTTCACACACACTAGTGGTTCTACGCAAATGCACGTATCGTTTCAATTAATATAGGGCTTTCTTTAAAAACCTCAGCATCAATCCCACAAAGAAGCACAGTAAGAAATCCCTTAAGCTAATTCTTGTCTACAACTATCAAATCTTAGTTTTGAAGATGAAAATTCTTATGATAATAACATAAATCACATTATTCAAACTATGAAAATTAAATTAAGAAAGACAAATTAAAATGGGTTTAATTAAATGTTAATAGAAATGTAACTAAAAGAACTAAGTTTACTGAACTATTTATTAAACTTCAAAATTAAATTTACTAAAACTAAACAAAGTTTTGTGGCAAAGTGTTCAAGTTTAAGAAAGCATCATTCCCCTTTACAATGAGTATATGGACTGTGAAGAAATTAAAATCATTTGAAATTATATATATATACCCTCTTCTGAGTGCATACAGAATATTGACTAATCCAAAGTTTGGTCCATGATTTGGTGGTTAGGATGGGAGTCTACCGGTTGCCACACTAGAGCTCCCACTACTCCCTAACTTGAGGGCTAACAATCTCGCATCAGTTTCCAACTAACTGGACCAAACTGTGCATTTTAATCTGTCACCTTAAAATCTCCAATTCTGCATCCAAGAAAATATATTTTCATATTTATTTGCACCTAACTCCGTGGATGAAATACTCTCCCATGAATTCAAATGTGATTCTCACTATGTTGTAGAAATCAAAGCCCTTTCAAAACATTTATTTTTCAACACATTTTAACCTTTCAATTGACCAAATCAAAAAGTAAATAAAGATCAGAGTTTGAATCACCACAAAATATTGACGTTTAAAACCGTACAAAATAAAATTAATTCTTCACAAAATCATATCTCAAAGTAGGGATAAGGATAAAGAAGACTACTCAGAATTGATGAGAAGAATACGACAAAACACGGATTTCATTAATAAAATAAGTTTATAAAATAAAGGAAATTAAAAACATAACTTATGTCACAGTCCTTTCTTGGCAAATCCCCAGAAGTTCTCTTCAAGCCTTTCTCTTCTTATAAGAACTCTCAATTCTCTCCTAGAAATGTAATGAATAAGAAATCTGTCACCTTCTCTCTCCTTTTACAATCCTTGATGAAATTCTTCAAGTCCTTGACTTTTCTCTCATGCCTTCTTCTTTCTCTTACTTTCACACCACACAGACACACACTCACGCCACCCCAAAACTCCTCATGCAAAACTCTCTTCAAGCCCCTGACTTCCCTCTCTTTTATAAAAGGTTGCCTCCCTCAAAAAAGAATTTCAAATTCCCTCCAAAATTTTATTCAAAGTCAACTCTTTTAATTTAAAAGACATTTCGATTGGTCCATGAAACATATCCCTTCATAAAAGAACCTTTCAAAGTGTCTAGATGCATTGAATCGCTCCAGGGGGTGTTTAGAACAAGTATCCCCTTAAAAATTCAAGAAAAATTCAACCCAAAATGCCTTATTCTGCAAAAAGTCATCCCTAGCACATCATGCGCCAGTTCTCTGCATTTTGGTGCATCTTGTGTCGATTTGGCATATCATCCGCCTCTCTGTAGCAGCTCTACCATTTTGTTTTGTTTTGCTCCATTTTAGTTCCATTTTATCCCTTTTTAGTTGCGCTTTGCTCCTAATAGATACACTTAAAAAGTAAGCATGAAAATAACATTTCTTTAAAGTGTACTTTAATTCAAAAATATATGAGTGTCGGCACTATTTTTGGTGTAGGGTTTGCCCGTAAGAAGCTGTCGGTCGTCGGAATCGAAATCCCGTCGCCCGCTTCGGAAGGACGTTTTAAAAATTTTAGTTTTAAAAAAGATGAAGTCAAACTGACCCCATAATTTTCATAGTTTAGATGAAAGAGCGCTTTATCTCAAATCCTGTATCTATCCCGAAGGATGAACACAAGAATTGAGGGTGAGGCTCGAT